TTTTTTTTTTTTTTTTTTAAATATATCTTTATTGATTTCAGAGAAAGGAGGGGAGAGGGAGAGAGAGAGAAACATCCATGATGAGAGTCATTGATCAGCTGCCTCCTGCCCGCCCCCGACTGGGGATCGAGCCCGCAACCTGGGCCTGTGCCCTGACCGGGAATCGAACGGCGACCTCCTGGATCCTAGGTCGATGCTCAGTTGCTGAGCCATGCCGGCTGGACTGCAAAACTTATATTTTTATGTATTATTTGGTTAACATTAAACTAAAAAACCACAAATTAAAACTTTTAATTCCCCCAAAACACATTTTTAAAAAAAAGTTAAATGATCAGTAATGTTAATGGATCGCAGAGAGAATTGTAATGTCAGTATGTTTGCGGAGACCCTCCCCGGAAAAAGGAGGCGCGAGCTCGTTGCTGACGCGCCTCCGACTGGCGGGCCCGGGGCTGATGCTTATGGTGGGTCCTGGTTGGAAGGGATGAAGTGGGGTTGAACTGGCCTCTGCTGGCTTGTTTTCTTCTCATCTGAGGGTCACCCTGTCAGAGGAGCTGTGGGAAGGCGGGGTCGCTGGGCAGGAGCAAGTGTGTTAGTCCGCTTTTATTGGTCTAAATGTTCCTAAGATTTTTAGGAGCCAAATAAAGGTCAGCTCAATGAGACAGAAGCATACTTTGAAAGTGCACACATGCATACTACTAGTCTTTTCACGAACTCTGTCCTTAAAACCCAACGTTCTTTTACAAAAATTATTTTCTTTTGGAGATGAAAGGCCGTGGAAGATTTTTGGTCCAGGGATATGTGTGACTGCAAATTTTTTTTAAAAAAGTTAAAATACTAATTTAAGCAGTAACAGTGGTATGGTTATTTTCCCAGATAGTATTCTTCTTAAGATTTAGATTTTGTTTTAAACGATGTTTGTTCTGCTGTAAAATTACTTTTTAGTATGCAGTTGTTTTTGTTTTGCTGTGGCACATAATGTTAGTGCTGTTACGATTTGTGGCTTGTTTCTTAGAAATTATCTAACCAACTCTCATTTTATTAATGACTAAATTGAGGCATAGAAAAGTCAGGTGATCTGTCCTAAGTTTAATTGAAAATATTACTAAAAGAATTCTTCAGCTACAGCATTTGAAATTCCCTCTTAATGTTAAACTCTAAGACTTAGATAATTTTGAATGTCATAATGTTAAATTTGTCTCCTAAAATTTGCATCATTGGGCTCTTTGAGATAACAGGTTTCCCCAATACATATATAAGATCAATGCCAAATTGCTGGTAAAGGCTTAAAGTTCTTACACTTTCTTCATATTTCTGCATTTGCGCCAAATTAGAATAAATTACTAAAACCGCAATCCCATACGTTTAAAATTAAAAGTGTTAGTTTAGATTCATCGTGAGTGGTGGAAAGTCATTTACAGCCCCTTCTCCCTCTCCACAGGTTGGAGAGACATGGACACCAGCAGCACCCTGGTCCTCGGCACCGTGTTCTTTAGCTTGTGCACCTTCCAGCTTCTGTTCCACTTTATCAGTTACTGGTTTTCAGCAAAAGTTTCTCTGGGTTATAACAGGCTCCACTTTGAAAAGAAGGTCGAATGGAACTCAAGGTAAAGTTTGTGAAAATGTAATAGATGTTTTAAAAAGCTAGTTTTATGAAATAAAATTATTTAAAATATTTCTAAAAAGTCTTTCATTTAGCTCTGGCTGGTGTGGCTCAGTTGGTTGAGCGTGGTCAGGGCACATGCTCAGGTTGCAGGTCTGATCCCAAGTTAGAGTGCGTTTGGGAAGCAACCGATGAATATTTCTCTCTCACATCGGTATCTCTCTCTCCCTCTCCCTTCCTCTCTAATAATGTTTTTAAAAAAAGTCATTTAGAACATCTAAGTTCAAAATGTTGACTTTAGGAATAAAAGACAGGTAGCTAGATTGCGTACAAGAAAAATTTAAAAATTTCGTACATGGAAGTATTGTAGGGAAGATGTACCCAGCTCCCCAGGGCAGTGTGGGGAGGCGGAGCCGACTCGCCGGTGGTGGCAGAGGAAACGCTATGACAACCAGCACGTGCTCCCTGGAAGTGATACCAGAGTAAATGGAGCTGGGCCGAGGGGCCTATATATAGTCCTGGCTGCTTAGCCGAGCAGGGCAGCTGACGCCAGGCAGGGAACAGGGTGTCTCCCTCTCCATGAGCTGTTCGTTACAATCCAGAGCCCTCCAGAATCTCTCCTGTTGCTACATAATTCCAAAGTGAAAACTGCCTTTTATATATTTTTAAAAACAAAAATAAGTGGGAAGTGAACAAGACATGTAAGGATATAGGAAGTTGTGTGAGTTTTAATTAGTTGCAATTTTCTTGTGGGTGCTATGGGTACACTTTTTGTAGTTATTTAGTCAAAGTTAATGCTACCTAGGAAATGAATGAATAGGTCTCTGATGTTGCCATAATCATTGTCAAACATACACAGCGAAGGCCTGTCGGCCATGCGTGCAGCAGCTCTTTTCATCCAAAAAGTGAGCTTTCTTTCTCCAGGTATGTTTGACAGATAGCAGCTGTGGTTTGTCTTAAGAACAGCGCGAAGATCCTGGTCAGTTGTGGGACACAGAAGATACTAGCCGTCACTTTTTCAAACCCTTTCTAACACAAAGATAGAACAGTGGGAAAGAGAGCGCTGTGCCCGGATATATATTATCTGTGGCTGAATTTTACACTGTTTTCATTCCTGTTACACCATGGTTATGGGAGGTGAAGGCATTTGAATCTTGGAGAGCTGGTAGCTGAGAGATAGAAGCAGAGATGGAAATGCAAGGAAATGATGAAATTGAAAAGTACTTCTCGTGATTCAGCCTCATCATGGCCCTCTGTGCATCGAGTCGCCATTTGGGAAACTGAGTTCCGTTAGAACAGGGAGCCTGCGATGACAGGCGATTCAGTCCCTATTCCAGTGGCCCCTCCCTCCCTCCCTCTGCCCTT